GGGTGGGAGATCCAATCGAATACCCTGGGACCCAGAACCGACGGTCTGCGTCGCTCTGCGTCTCACAGCCACACTCCGTGGCCTGGCTTCCAATCAATCCAATCGAGACTCTCACAAACGGACAGATGGACAATCTTGCAATGCGGATTAAAGGGCAAGGTCAGAATCATCCCTCATCGAAGAATGCAACTAAGACTCTGGACAAAACGGTGTTGGAGGTGTTCCTACTCATTCACAATCCACCCTTCCCATGCACTTGTAGTTTGATTGATCCTCTACACTTGATTGCACATTAGGCTTACTTGTGCAACACACGTGTAATCGAATCAAATCGGTTGCTAGTTAATACCTAGACGCCGGTACTTATATGCACTATCCTCAATGACTGATTATTCTGCCTGTTGTAACATACATGTTAGAGCAAGGACCTTGCTCTGTGGTTGTAGCATGCTCAAGAATGATCGGGGAAATTAGGTTAAAATCAGGTGCTTTATATAGTGTCGCAATCACAAACCCGTGTGTTACCCGTGTGACTCAATGTTACCCGTGTAACTCAATGTTACAAGTCAAATCAATGCAGCTGAGGACATTGAGCATTAATAGTTGTACGTTGCTGGCAGATGGGGAAATAGAAAATTGGGGGAAAACAAATTATTATGATCGAATCCAAATTTAGTGGACGTGATCATAAAACAGACAGGGCATCACTCCATCCAGCAGAATGTACTTGTATAGTCAGACCTCATGATAATGTTGAAAATGGTTTGAATCTTGGCTTTGATCCTTTTGAATCTTGGGGAATGTTACTCATCTTTTCCTCTCATTTTCTCCAACTTTCTGTTATATGCAGATAACAACGCATAACACGATGATTTCCACGCCATGTGCTATGAGCTTTTCTGGTTTACAGTTGCACCCCTGGTCCCTTGGTCCTCAGCTCATAGATTTATCACTTGAAGTACCCGGAACGTCGCCTGGGCGGCGCACTGTTCGAGAGGCATTCATTTGCGAATTTATGTAGGTCAAGTGATGCCCCTTTTTTTTCTTTTTTTACGTACGAAAGGCCGTCAGGTGCCTGTTAAGTAGAACGCCGCTTAACTATGATTTTTTTCCCGTAACAACCAACATGTACGAGCCCTGAGCCTCACGTATCAGTTCTGGTTGCACTCTATTCAGTGTTTTGGGTTCGAACTAGACTTGCAAAGCCTTGACTTAGTGCCTCACAGCCAATTACGTGCGAAATCCCAATATTTGTCATGGTCAGGAATATCGATGGGCTCCATGCAGTTTTACTGTGACACACAACAAAACGGTCAAAATGCCAAGTGGTAGATAATGTATGTGCTTGAATAGGAAATGTGAAACTAGAGAGGGTTCGAGATTGCGAGTCTCTTTCCGGCTAAATTTTCTTGATTTAGTCAATGAATGATGCAAATCATTCCGACATCTTTCGGGTTGGAGTGGAGACTAGAAGGCTACCGCTGGAGTTCTACGATGTCCAAAATATTCACAATCTGTCCATGGCTCCTGCCTTGTATCATTATCGGTTTTGTCACTTTTGAATCGGAAGTAATTAATGGCCTTCGTTTTCATCACACTAATTCTTGCGTAGCCCTCTCCTAAAAATGGTCAAACTTGATAATCGTGAGATCCGAGTATCTCTTGGTAAAAATGCAAATCATTTGTCGCTGGATTGATGTAAATCGAGGGCTGTCGCAGAGCAGCAATAAGAGAATTTGTACGTTTTTATGATCTGCCTGTGCATCAGGAAACAACATTTCTTCACTGAGTTTTGACGCGGCCGTGTGTCAGCGCCCGGCAGACAAGCCCCTGATTGTATCGAACTCGAACCGTGCTGGTTACGCGTGCCACGAAAACTTCCGCTTCACCTGCTTTGCTCCATCCCGTGTCCTTGGGCCTTCCTGGCCGGTGACCGTTACATGGCCGGGCATCGATTGCAAGGATAGAATGCGTGTAGCGTACAGAGGAAAGACTAGGAGCAAGAGGGGAGGCATCCAAAATGTGTTCCCAGCCCCCCCCCTGTGCAGTGTTGCGCGCGACTGAATTAGCGTACATTCAGGGGTCGATAGTCACACGAGTCCGCCAGGAAAGCGGAAATTGTTGGATTGATTAAACAAGAAACATGAATCCTTGGGAAAATCTTGTGGCGCGTTCTGCACTGGCCGTATGAGCAACCTCCTGTGCCGTATCACGATATTAAAGCGATCCCCGCAAACACCCCCTCTTGTTCTTTATTTGTCCGTGTCTCTCCAAGATATTAACCGTCCCGAAATTAGATACAACGTGTCAACAGTGGATCCGGCATTAGATTCGCGGAACAGCCCCGGCATAGGTGAGACCATCCGCAGGCTCCGGTGTGCATTACACGAGAACAAGCCTCTAAGACCACTCTCAATATTTGTGTAATTTATCACTGTAGGTTAATGGAATCCACGTTGTCCGATGAAAAGTTCAGATTTCTCCACACGCGTGCTGTAATTTCCTTCGTTGCAAAGACGCTTGCGCGCCTTGGCACTTTTCCGCTTTCTCTCCCCTCTCTGCAGAATAAAATGGGCATACACACCTACGTTTTTCCTTTAATTATCCCGGGAAATCTAGGCACACCACACATCTTGAGGAGACGCTGTCGTAGTTTAATTTGTAGGGAAGCCGACGTGGGCAGGTTGTCTTCAAATTCAAAGTGGAGATCACATGATCCCAAATCAAGGTCGCATTTAAATTAATCGACGTTACTACTAACCGATCCATTAAGCCCTGTCCCATTGTAAATTGACTAATTACAGCCGCTGTCCAACGTGCAGCAGTCCGACATACATACAAGGCATTATGCTGCGTGCGGCTGGAACATCCGTGTGGCATGGGGAAGAGCAATCATTCATACATGGCATATACTGGTGGGTGCGTGCAAGGTCTGGGCCGGTGAGAAAGGCATAACTAAACCGCCCATGCATTTAGGATGTGCCTTCCAAATTACACATTTTTCCAAGCATAACCTAAGTTATAAAATTTTATTGAGCTATCAGATGGAAAAAGGTGTCCGAAATCACCCGACGACCCGGAAATCACAACAGAAATATTGGGACCTTCAACATCTTCTTCCCCTCTGAAATAATCTGACCTTTTCTTCAGCGACGGGAACGCATGACACTTAGCACGGACTAAACATGTACTCCGTGCACTAAGAAGGCAACTCCCAAGATACAAATACAAGTAAAGAGGGTAGCACAGTTGTGAGGTCCGGCCCGAGCCAGTGTGACCCCTTAGCCAGGCGTTTGGCATGAAACGACTAATGGTATTTCGATTCCCATTGAATTGGGATGCTAGTCCGTCGCACGTTGCTCCCCAGCTAATGCATATTCATTGTACTCCTAAAGGTGGGGACGGCATATTGGTGTAAAGTGGCTTACCAGGAGACACACGTAGCTGGCAGCTGGAGTCGAACCCCAGACTCTCTGATCATGAGTCACCCACCACTTGAAAAAACAAGTAACGTGATACAGACGCGCGGCTTTGTTCATGTTGCAGTCACATTCAGCTTACTTCTGACGTAATAAACGAGAACTGGATTAGGATTACGAGGGGCGACCTCATCTCTTTTTAAATGCTTCATGAAAGGCTCTTCTGACTGAAAAATTACCATAGCAAGGCACTGAAAAGATTCTTACAACGGTTACTCAACCTTCCAAGGCTCTTGTAGATTTCCAGGCGTCCTTGGCACCGAACCGGGCCCATAGACGATGCAAGGACAGATGGAGAGACAAACATGACTTCGATTCGATCTCTGCAACACTGGTACGAAGCCTGTAATTTGTCAGGGGCACAACGATAATCTTTCACTCCCTGTCGGTACTAGGGAGGTATCGCTTTTACATGCTCCCCGAGCGAGTCTTCTATTACATCCAAACAGCCGATATAACTTCATTAACTATTTGTGACTATTTTGATAACGCGGCACGACTGTCCAAGCTCTGTTTCGAATGAAAAGCTTTTTAAATTGTATCACCTTGATCGCTGTCAATTCCTCATGTCAATCCTATAAAGGCCTTTATATATATATATATTATTCCAATGCAAGCGCTGTCAAGCAAATACTTTGTAACAGCTAAAAGTAATCCTCAATGCGTATTAATTTCCAAGAACATCTCAGTTTTAACCAAAATCATTACGTGTGAGCTTGTACGGGGGTGTCTTACGTGTTGACATCGACTTTGCAAATGTTGACTTCACGTACGTTCTCACGAAATGTCAGTTATCGAACTGGAGTGCCCAATGTGATTTTTTTTCCACTGATAGAGGCCAGACGAAATTGCCGATATACGAATGATTGTGCTAAATACTATTCAGTCCAGTTACAAAATACTTATTCTACTTCGGCTGAAAATTTAGAGATGTGCAAAACGTGTTAACGCCCACGGTGCTCGGCTCTGGCTGGGTTGCACAAATTGCGCCCTCTTGCGGTGTTTCTAACATTGAAGAGATCCGCCTTTCAGGTTGTGTGGCCATTGATCACGACCACCCTGTTGGCGTATGAACGTTTATCTAGCCTGCCTTAAACTCTGAATATCTCTGTACTTTGTATTAATAACTGTCATACCTGTCATAGAGCCGCTTAATCTGAACAGTGTACATGTAGTAGGTTAGGAATGCCACAACTTGATGAACAGAGGGCGCTGTTTGCAGTAACTGGTCTTTCAGTTGTATACTATTAATAAGCCCTCCTGATTCTTTTGATGACATTTTAATATTAACTCTAAACATTCTGTTGTCACGATTCGTAGTTTCCATAGCCAATAAACTGGGCACCGATGCTTACTCGTTCGAGTTTTGGTGTCCTTTTATAATCAGGATCACCACTTTCTGAAATCTACAAAATTCCTGTAAATTTTTCTCCTTCCGTCTAGAAGCATTTTTTCCCGAATGAATTGGCATCTCTGGCTCTCCCCATTTGTCCATAATAAGAGTTGACTGTCCAAAGACAATGCCAATAAGAATATTTATTTCTAATATCCCCTAAATAATGGATATTGAGCAAACAGCATTAATAAAGCACATAATAAAACGTGGATTTCATCAGTTTGAAAGCACCAAGGAGAGAAGGCCATTTGTACAATGGCAGTTTCTCAGCCAGTTATTTAACAACTGGCTACGAGCTGATGTGAGGACCTTGTTTCACATTTAATCTGATGACAAGTGATTGCTACACATATCTGAATTATGGAGGAACTACTCATCATCTCATGTTACTTGTCCCTCTAACGGTTGGGTCGCCTAATCAAAAAAACGATGATTACTGATATCTCATGATTTTTCAACAGCACCCTGATTTCAAAGCATGATTATTGCCTCATCGAAGCTAGGAATGTTTTATGAACCGACCACAAGAAAACATATTAGCACATCACAAGAAGAATGAGGAAAGAAATATGCATGACCCACACCAACTCATTTTTAATTGTTGCTCTACCCTCCAACTCTGTGGCCCCTCCAATCTCAACCCTTAAAGCGCTGGAGACGGGATCTGCCCAACCCCCCTTGATATTTTCCCCAACACGGTGTCACTGTCACAGTACATTTCCTCTTTTGTGCCAAACTTTGATTTGCATTTCAAGCACTCACTTAAGAAAATCAGCATTTGTTATACCTCTGCTTTTCTTACTGTGTTTTTTTTCATTGGCTCAGAACAATCACGGGACAGGGCGACATAACTGCATGTCACACTCACCGTTAGACATCGCAACAGCCAGTGTTGTATATCACACGGTTCTTTGCAGTGCAAAGAGTAATGCAGGGACTGAACCACTAATGTTCAAAGATTTCTTTGTCGCCCTTAATTTCCCTTAGAAAAGCAAGTGAAAAGTCATTAAGATGGATATGACACAGCTGTTGTGGACTGCTGTGAGGTAGGATAGGAGGGTTTAAACACCCTTAGGTATTAGCTACATGTACATGTATGCATCCCTTAGGTTTTCAAAAGTCATATCCCACATTACAGCTGTGAGCCATTATGAAGTGTCCCTCATATCAGAGGTTTGACTCTTTAAAAAAATTGACTGAAATAATTTCAGAATAAAAAACGGGGATCAAAAACTCTTTGTCCATAGCAGCAATTGTACACACGTACATGTAAGTTGCAAATACAATTATTCTTCCAGGCAAACAACAAAGCTTCAGCGTTGATGTAGTTCTAAGTCCAGGGCCAACATGGCTTTTGAATGAGCAGCTCTTTCCACATTGTCCTAAGCTGGTCTGGGCCATAGGAATGGGCAGTAATTACATAGCGAAATCTGCAGTATGAATACTTGATGTGAAGATTACTAAATTGGCGGTTCATAATGGGCTTGACATTCAGTTTCTCCAAGCACAAACCAACAAACACATCTTCTAGATGGAGGTATCTGGCTTCTAGAGACGCTGCGTAAATCTTCCCTGGTACGTCACCAGAGAGAACAAAACCACCGCCAGACAGCCATGGGGGATACAAGTTTCCTGGAAAGACATCCTGGGGCATGTACCACTTGCTCCCCTTGTCGCGAATGGGGGCTTCTCCAGCAATGACGAGCCCAAACGCGAGGTCAATTCTAGGGGGATCTAGGACAGTCACGTAGTCCAGGAGATTCTGATAGCTGACGAACATGTCGTCATCCGTCTTCATGACAAACGAGGCCTGTGGACAGTGGGTGCTGGCCCACTTCATGGCCATCATGGTCTTCAAGGTCAAGTTACGGTAGGTGTCCACAAAGTCCTCCATCAAGAGGTCGTGGTGTTGCAAGCTCTCTTCCAGAACCCGCTTGTGGAGGCTCGGGTCTCCCCTGTCCCCTAGTAGAAACAGTGTCACGATGGGGAGACCGGCCAGCTGCTTCAGGCTGCCCCAAGTTTCCCGGATGGCTTGTCTCCGTTTAAAGTTCCTGTGAATACTGGCTACAAGCACGAGCAGGAGGACTGGTTTGGGAGTCTCAGTCTTGGGATCCATGCATGCCATTGGTTCGTCCAAAACAAGTTTAAAGTTGTGCGGATTAACGTGACCCTTGGTGGGTGAGTAGGCAGCAACTAAATACTTTGTGTAATTGAGCATCCAGTTGAACGTTCTCGCTGTGCCAACAAAAGCGAAGTCTCTCTGGCCGAGGTGTAACAGGTTCCCATGTACTTCAATCTGCTGGAGAACATTAGCCGGTCCCTTCATGTTGAGTACCAGCATTATCAAGATAACGGCCAACACTGGAACAAGAAGACTCTTGAGTCTGCCGACGTACATTCTCTGCACCTGCATGCATGGCAGAAATTGAACTGTGCAGTTTGTATTGCCAAGAATTTACTTCTTGTTGATTTTCAGAAAACAGGATTTTTACCCAATGGATACAAAGAGCTTGTATCCAGTCAAATCTCATGACCAAGAAGTCATAATCATTGTGATTCTGATTTACAATGTACATGTATTCATAGACCAAGGTCAGGATTTGTCACAGAAAAAGATTCCTCACATTTTCTGTGCCATGCTGGTAAAATAGCAAATCAGGAAAAGAGTCAATATCTAGAACTACCTTAATCTGTATCTGTTTACTAATGTACAGACACCTAGCATGGCTGTCCCATACAACTTCCGCTTTTATGGCAATTCTAGCCTTCACAACGAAGGCTAGAATTGCCATAAAAGCGGAAGTTTTTTGCAGTTACATGCATTTCATGAGGGATTTATAATTGGCAGTGAGTGTGCAACATTACAAGGAACAATTGAAGACAGCCCTACATTTAAGCCCTTGATATAGGGTTGTGGAGGGCTTTCTTTTGACATTTCTCTTTAGATGTGTGATGCATGGCGACAGTATAAAAACACGTCAAAAGAGACATACGTGTGCAGTACGTACATGTACACATGTCATGAACGTAGGCCTAGTCCGTTTGGACACGGTTCATGGAGTTACATGTACATGTAATTTGGCCGCATATCCACATATTTGCTACTGCACTTGAGATCAAACTCTCATTCAGTCTGGTTGTAAATTGTTCTTAATTCCATCCTCACGATCATACTTACCACTTTTCATAAAAGTTCTGTCATATTCGGATGGACTTTACAGGTGCCAACAAGGAATGAATCTTAGTTAGATGCCACAGTTGTACGGTGTACACGCATACTCGTGAATTTGTGAATGAAAGTACCTAGCGATACCTCCAACGCACGAAGGGTACTAGGGAACCAGACTTCATATAGACGGCTGTTTCATGATTAGTCAAGAAAAGGCAAAAATGCCGGGTAGCAATTTTAATGTTGGAGCAGCTGTGACCCCCCCCCAAAAAAATCCATTTCGTGGTTGGTCCTTCAAGCCTACTCTAAAACACAAAATTGCTCTTAATTAGCTAGTGCACGAAAACAAAAACAAGTGTGTTTCAAATCTCCTCTGCAGGTAGATGCTACGTTGAACTGCAACAAGCTCGACTGCAGTAATGAAAATTGAAGATGGATGAGACAAAGCGAATTCGGAACAAGAACAAAACAGGTCAATCCCACAGGTATGTGCCATCAATCTCTCTTTCAAGGCTTTCTTAACCAGACTGGTTAAGTTTCATGGTCCACTGTAGAAAAATAATTTAGGATTGATACATTATTCATAAAAATAGTGGTTTTCCAAGTTGCCTGTTCCTGCCCCAAAACAAACGATGGCTATGGCAGGCAGAATTAAATACACAGCCGCTAAAATAATCCAATTCCACATTTTTTCTGTTGGAGAAAATAATTACATACGTGTAGAGAGCTTGTAGTTCCCGTTTGTTTTGACCACTCATGAACACTACTACTTTACGTTTTCGGGGCTGCGATTGCACTATGAGCGGTAATGTCCCACCTCAGTAATATTTTCTCCAGCGGAACACCAACGGCAAAGTTCCCGTCCAATCATTCCACTCTACAATGCTGACTTTCCTCAATCGCCATCCACGTTTTGGAAAGCTTTCCAAGGTGGGTCCAGTCCTGAATGCAATCATTCGACAAGGGGATTTATGTGCTGTTTTATTTATACGGGGTGGGCGGCCCTGTCGGTTATAACTGCTGGGGGGGGGGGGCTGATTCGAATTACACTCGTTACAAAGATTAAGAGGACAAGCCTGAGCTTTGAAATCAAAACAATGAACCGACAAGACTAAAAACTGAATTTAAAATGACAATAGAAATCACAAACATAAGATATTGAAATAAATCAAATACATGAAAAACAAGGGCATGAAATCAAACTAAGGCAATAAAGATAAAACTAAAGATTTCAAAGGTAACAAGACACACAAATTACGGAACAATAAAAACGTTTGAAAATTTCAGCTCGATTGAAGATTAAAGAACAAAGAAATAAATTAAACATAAAAATACAGAAACAGAATTTCGATTAAAATTAGACAATCTAATTTGGATGATTAAAGTAATTTAAAACTTCACAAACACTCGGCTCCCAGACGCTCATTTAATTTGTTCCACCAAAGGGTCCCTAAATATTGGAAAAATCGTGGTAACCATTAAGGATTGTAAAGACACAGAGTGTACAATTAGTCTTGGACCTAGTTATGATATAATGATTATTGCGAAGAGATGACAGAGATAATGTGGAGCTATGTTACTGAAGCATCTGTGAACTTCGAACGTCCTTTGAGTACGCCACCGTCACGTGTTTGAAGATCTTTCCACAAAAGAGTTTGTTGAAAATCTTCAGTGTGTACACTAGTATGGGCATTCAAAATTGTGCTATAGCAAGACGGTTGTGTATATTTTTAAGCATGTCTTGTCAAACATAACATTTGGCAGCGCTACAATTGCCATTGGCCTAACCATAGCGTTACAAAGCAGTTTGAAAGTTTTTGTTTGTATAAGATGTTCTGCAGATCTTTTCAGAAAACGTATAGTGTTCTACCATGGGCTGAGATTCCGGGGGAGGGGGGATATATTCCCCCCTCATTTTGACGTGGGGTAATCACCCCCCCTCTTTTTCAAGTCACTGGCTATGCACACACTTAACCTGCGTCACGATCTCACCTGGGATGGAGGGCGTGCTGAGCTTTCAGAAATCAACCCCCCCCATGCGACAAGAAATCTCCGCCCATGTGTTCTATACTCACTTTTTATGCTGTACAGTCGATGTGCTCGTTCCATGTACGTTTTTCATCAAGCATAACACCATTGTAATTGTAAAACTTGATTCTTTCAATCTCTTCCATATTGATGAAGATTTGGATGCCACAGATATTAGGAATTTATTGCTGTGTACCATAATTTACGAATTTAGTCTTACTTACATTGAGGGTAAGTTTGTGATTATAAAACCAAGTAGCAACTTAAGACCATTATCAGTTTGGAGGTGTTCAGTATCCAACCTAGTATGAACCTTACTTTCAGTTACCGCGACACAAGATTAGAGCCTGCTGATAAAAATGACAAATAGTAAGAGTCCAATAATTGAACCTTTAGGGACGCCAGTCTAAACAGTGTCAAGTTTGGACAGCTTGCCCTTCCATAATCGTGGCTCACTGTCTGCCTCTAAGGTAGGAAACAACCATTTGAGCTTTTTATCCCAAATGCCAGCTTTTACATGATAACTATAGTGATCAACTTTATCAAACGCCTTTTTTTCCAATCAAGGAAGATGGCCGTTGTTACTTTCCCAGCATCCATATTATTGAGGATATGATTAGTAACATCCAAACTAAACCGTGACTGTTGTTGAGCCATATATCTCTCCCCTTGAAGGAAACAATATAATTGAACACGAACCACCTCTTTCAGTGAGTTAAGAAACTAGTGGCAGCATTGAAATAACTCCAGATGCCAAAGACTGATTAAGTAGCCTACATGAAACACCATCTAAACCAACGGCCTTGGAAGACTTAACAACCTTGATTTGCTTACTCACCAAATTTTGCTGTTGGCGGGGGGGGGGGGGAGTTGAACTTAAAAGCTATGATCTTGTATAGTTAGCATCAGTGTCATTATAGCTTTGTGTATGAAAGAACCTCTTATTCATCAACTGAAGTGTTTTCCCAACACAGATTTCTTGGCATGATGTATTTTTAAAAGGTCGTCAGCCAAGTTGCGCTAAGCTTACATACCCAGTGTGGACTTGTGATCCAAAGATGTCCACACGATGCAGGAAAGGAAGACGTTCTGTGGACTTAAACGCGTCCACAGGACGTTTCCCCTTCTCTGAAAAAGATGTTTAGAGGCTTTTTGGGGTAGGGGTCATCTGTCGTAAAGGAGGAGGAATATAGTCAAGGAAACCTTGTACAAAAAGCCAGCTGAAAATCGTGTTCCCAGTTCAAGAAAAAGACTATGTTCACTGAGTTTTCTTAACTGCACGAAAAGAAAGGAATGTCCACAGTAGGTATGTAAGGTAAGTGTGGGTGTGTTTGTTAGTAGTCACAGGGAAGGTAATGCCTCTATTTCGACAGAAGAGCTTCTTCTTGGAATGATACATGTACATGTACGTCATTTCTACGCGCTTGGCGAAATTATTGACCTTACTGTGAATGAACTTAGCAAAACGCTCATGATCTTGGTTGCCAGATTGTTGTGTGTTAGGTCAAAAAGCATCACACTCCTAGCTACGTTCAAGCACTTCTTTGGTGAGCCAGGGTGCCTCGTATTTAGTCTGCCGACGAATCAGTTGAGGAGGGGAATGCTGGCCACACAGTAAATCAAACATGAGCTCTCTAACCCGAGACATAACTAAACGTATTTTAAAGCTCCCTATTTTAGAGGTCAAAGGTGGAACCCGAGAGTGCAAGATTATTTTCTTAAGCCCGAGCGGAAATACATCAATAACACTTAATGCATTCGGGATGTGATTAAAAAGAAGATCCATGCAGGTTCTTGTGGTTGGAAGAACTCTCGTCGGAATTGGCACAAGCTGTATGACATTTAATTGGAATTTGCAGCAAAAGTCATCGATTTTAGCAGAATATGTTACATCTAAGTATGTTAAATTTGAAACCCTCGACTGTCAGGGTTTCACTCGAACCTGCATCTATCTTGCTAATTTTAGTCCATAGCCTTGGTCTAGAAATTCAATCGTTCTGTTTGGGAGATACACACTTTCTAAAACGATGGACCGAGTTTGCTTTACGTTTATCTTAATCCAGCATCGAATAAGGGAACACAGATTTGTCTCTGTTATCGTGATGCCTATTAAGAATAATGGAAAACGACTTTAGCAAGCTCTAGAGGTGGAGCACACATCTCAAATACCAAGATTATGTTACGATCCCCCAAACAATACTAACAATTATATCAGTGTACTTTACTTTTGGCGTACTGCAGAGAATGTGCAAGGTAGGTCTGAAAAAAATACTGTTCCCAGTAGCCTGAACTCACCCTGGTGTCAGTGGTCTTTTTATCTTTGAACAACAACAAGAATGTATATTTTGTTTAGCACTGTTTCACATAAGACGTAATATTAATGCCTTATTGGCGATCTGCATCTACAGTTTTTTTTCGAGTTGTCCGTAGTCAATAGATTACTTGACTGGTGGCCTCTGTCTTATAACAGTTTGTTCCCAACTGGAAGACACAGTACTGAAGTCACTTATCCCTCAGTTTTTATGAACTCACTTATCCCTGAGTTTTTATGGTCATATGAGGCCCTGCATTTTGGAACTCAAGATGGCGGACATGAGGCCGCTAAAAATGGTTACAATAGATGTACTAAAACTGATGTTTACACGTGCATATATACTACATGAACTGCAGAGAATAAGGTGCTTGGCACATCCACAGAAAATACGTAGAAAAAGACCATCTTATATACACATAAATAACACAGGTTTCTTTTTTAGCTGCATGTCTGAACACAACCCCTCAGTTGCTTTTTTGGCTTCCTGCTGTCTGTCCTACCTCTCCTCGTCACCAAGGAGGGAGCCCTTGGTTCGGTCATTCGAGAACAAAACACGGGTGCATAATTATATAGGAGTCAGCAAGTGGCTGCGCTGATAGGACAAATCTCGCACGCGCACATTGCTGTACCCGTATGGTCTCGGGCGCGTTTCATTTTGGGCAAAAGCTGTTAGAATACCGATCTGGCTCAATCATGTCCAAAACCAGCAGTCTCTCTGGGCCTTTAGGTCTTTCCATACGGTCCTCAGTTCGGCTGGTCCGAAACGATGCGAGGTAATGATATAGTGGAACCTGCAGTAAGAATACCCGATGTGCATGTTATTGAACCGGTCACTTGTAGTAAGCGTGGCATTGAGCTTCTGCAAGCACAGACCCAGATACACGTCCTCGAGAGGCAAGTACTTGGTGTCCAAAGACACGGCATAGATTCTGCCCGGCATGTCCCCGGACAGGACGAAGCCTCCTCCGGACAGCCACGGCGGGTACACGTCACTAGGGTACAGCTCCCGGGACACGTAGTACTTGCTCTTGGGATCCCGATAGGGAGATTCGCCCTTCAGGACACGGCCCAGCGCGAAGCCCGTTCCGGGGGCTGCCGTGGCGGCCAAGTAGTCGAGAAGATTGCGGTAGCTGACGAACATGTCGTCGTCGGTCTTCATGACAAACGAGGCCTGCGGGCAGTGGGTGCTGGCCCACTTCATGGCCATCATGGTCTTTAGGGTCAAGTTCTTGTAGCTGTCCACAAAGTCCTCCATCAGGAGGTCGTGGTGTTCAACACTTTCCGCTGAAACCTTTTTGAGCAGGTGCGAAGTCGTCCCCTTCCCGAGAAGAAACAGCGTCACAATGGCTCGGTTCCGGATTTCTTTGAGGCTCCCCCATGTTTCTCTGATGGCTTGTCGCCTGTCGAAATTAGCATGTTTACTGGTTACCAACACCAGAAGGAGAACGCTTTTGGGGTGTCCCCTGCCCGGTTCAATGCACGCCATTGGTTCATCCAGCAGAAGCCTGAAGTCGTGAGGGTTAAGATGCCTTTCGTCAAGTTTACGGTGGTAAGCAGTTTGGAAGAGCTCCGTGTAGTTCGTGAAATTGGTGGTCACGGCATTACCACCACTAGCCAGGAAAGATTGGTCCCCTCTCCTGAGGATATTGCCAGGTACCCAGACATTCCACGTCTGTGTTACGAGATAGATGGTGGCGACTAAGATGCTGCCCAAATATGCGCAGGTCTTTTTGTCCGGGGCCATGATCACTGCATTGTGTGAATAAACCAATCGCGAATATGTATGTCAGTAATGTGTTTTACTCACATGATCATTATTCGGAAAACATTCGCAAGATCTAGTCACCCTACGCAAAAGATCGAGCAAAATTCGATTCAAAATGTCACACAAGTATACAGCAAATGCACCCCTTATCGTGAAGGGCATGGAGATCAAAACCTCTGAGTCCCGTAATTTCATGTGAAAGTATTATTTTAGTATTAGTATTGTTTAGCAATAGAAGAACATTAGCCATTGTTTCTGGTCCTAGATAGTAACAAAATATTACTCTGGCAAATAAGATAGATCGAAAGATCGTGGTCCAAAACATACCATAACTACGCCAAGTTTCGTATAATGAGGGACAGGTGGGTAAGGGGCCATCAAAGTTGGAAAACGAAGTTGTGCACAACCGGTGAGTCTTATTATCTGCATTATTAAGACATTTTCAAGAGGATTTCTGACGCTTAGATTCACCATTGCCGTATGTTTTCACTGCATAGTAAGTATGTAAGGCGAGCCAAATCACGATGGCCGAGTATTTGTCTCCGTATCATGCGCCCCGCATTAGAGTTTAGCTTTTAATTCACTAATAATCCATAATTAAAGGGTAGCTGCAATCAATGTTTTTTGACTACAAACCTGCAAAATGTATTTTTGTGCCTAAGGTAAAACTTATTATTTTAAACTTTGGTTTCAGTATTTCAAATGGTATTTTAATGCCATTTTGGTTTATACTAATGAGTATTTCCATATCCATGGGCAAAACTATAACGTCATCTCAGGAAAAAGCCTCAATGTTACATTGGGTTGTACACAAAAAAGGCTGCGTTTTTGTAGATTTTTCTGGATAAAGTTTTCTTTTCTTTGCTGATTCATTGTTTATGTGCATAGCAATTAGAAACCGTCAATCCCTCTCTCAGAACTGTTATCAGTTAGTAAATTCTGAGTTCACAATTTAAACAGAAATACCTATGCACTGAGCCGTGTCTCCCTAGATGACTGCACAGTAACAGCGCCCTCAATTGTCAGGAAAAACATGGATATTTTGATTGTTTAAAAAAGTGCATTTTCAGTGCTTTTAACCAAATAGGAGTGTGGAAAAGTATTCATGCATTCAAGAACCGTACAAAGATGCATCAAAATTGTGCCATAGAAAAATTCATTGCAGCGACACTTTAAACATTCCATTTTCTACTAACAGGCTTGTACTCACAGCTTTTATTATTGCAAAGGTCTGTTGCTCAATTTCCAAATGCACTCTGTCAGCAACATTTAGCATTCGCCACATTAATTGGAGACTTTCCACCTCGGTCAGGCCGACAATTCTGCTTTCTGGTCCTTACACCACGTCACATGTGACGTCATGCTTGTTTTTTTTTCCACCTGCAAAGCGTGAGAAAGTATATTATTAGTGTATCGGGCCACTGTTTTCTGAAGTATTAAAACAACTCATATTAGGGACTATTTTAACTTGATGTTGGAGCCTTTTTTGTTTTATGCTTATTTGAATTTCCATATTCATAACAAAGATTTGAAGTCATTCAAGGCACTAAACTTTAATAATTGTTTTTCTATTCATAACATTATTGTAAATTTCCATTTCTTTGGCAAATTACTGTTATGCAAATATATATGGCAATAACTCAGTGCGCAACCTTTCCTCTGAAATGTTTTCCTGAGTAACTTTGGGTTTCAACATTTTAACGTGTATGTAACCTGAACAGTGCCTTCTATGAATATCTTTACAGCAACAGCGCCCTCACTCCTCCAGAAAAGCTTTGTCAATGAAAAGGAGCACTTAAAATAAACTTAAATCTAAAAGAACTTCATACTACTTCATACACTTAAGAAGTGTATAAAGACGTGTAAAACTAGTCAAAGAAAATCTCATTGCCTGGGTCTTTTAAATGATCTTAGAAAAGGAGCTTAAGAATAAAGTGGTTTAAAAATCGGCGTCACGTGCTCACAGTTTGTAAGTTGTGAACAGGTGCAACTACGTTCAAGTGGTTTCTTCACTTGAAAAATGCAAATAATCCCTTACAAAACCAAAACACACCTGCAGCGTCGCCTAAAATGAACTCATGGAACTCTGCGAATTCGAAGAATCGTTATATGAGGTCGAAACGTAACATCAGTCTTGTCAGTGCCGGTACCATGGGCATCGCCACCCCCAACCCACCCACTCCCCCCAAAAACTGAAAGGAAGCAAGGAAAAAGAGGGAAGTAGATTAAATGGGGGCAAAATTAAAGATGAAAATTACCCATACAAACACTTAAAATTGACGGTTCCCACTGTCGATCGTATATCAGTTCGTAGTTGAATGTTTTTTACGTCTCCCCCCCCTCCAATTTTCCCAGGGAAAATAGTGGTCCACCCCCCTTAAGAAAAAATCAGGGTGACGCCCACGGTCAGTTCCCGTAATTGTAACACTATGAACAACGCATGGAATAATGGTCCCGTTACTGAGAATGCGGAACTTTCAAAAACACGAACTCAGAGACTCTATCCGGTTCGTAAGTGTGACGTCACTTCAGTTTAAACCACGCCCACTGCACATGCACTGCACTAGGCATTCAGTGATCGTCCAACCATAGACCTGAAGGAGAAAATACAATGGACTGCCAACTCCAGCGGGCGCACCGCGCATTGCGCGTAAACATGTTCCGTCAGCCGGAAGCTCTGGAGTTGCCGGCACAGGAAACTTTTGGTTGACCTTTGTAGCGTTGTTCACGTGCGATGAACGAGAGCGACAGGCGCTGCGCTCGTAATTTTGCCTCGGAACTTTTCTTTTTCGTGGAAAAACAATCGCAAAATGGACGAGATAGACAACATACAAGTGTGTTATGACATTGTGATAATTATAAGTATACTAACGTGAGCATTAATAACAATTAGTGAGCCTTTAGACAGGGAAAGCTGTGTATGTATTCTTTTCTCATGCACGATCGTGACAATCGGCAAACATGATCGAGTACTACCAGGTCTGGTTGGTTTAGCCCAGCAAAACCTTTTTTTTCTGACTCGTAAAGCAATTTTTAGAGTTATAAATACTCATCTCAGAGGTGGGGTTGTCGGATTTTTCAAGGGGAAAAAATAGTACATGTTCCCCCGTTCATATTGAAGTCTTTTNAAAAAATATTTTCAATGCTAGGGCTATGAGCAAATTTGTGTTTTTCTACCAGATTTAAATTTAAGGGACATCGTGTTATATTAGAAAAATGAGTGGGAAACATGAAGGTCCATAGCATAATTTCCCCAATGACTTCGTACATGTACATGCCATACTTCGTAAACTGTATGTAAAACTAATAGGATCTTTATAGCTGATTTTATAGTCGGAATTGTTTTGGGGCAAAAAAAGTGACAACATGCATCGGCTTGTTAAATTTTCAGGCAGAATATTAATGACGGGTTTCTGGCTTCCCTTGGTCAGAGGAGCAAGCAAAACTTCTAAACATTACTCAAATTGGTTTGTAAACGACCCAATCCCCCAGAATTCTGAATTACAAAATGTAAATAAACAGATTTGCAATGTACACATACAAACATTATATTTTTTTCAAGCATCTCATTTATTATATAATAGTTTCAAAGTTGTCAAATAAAATTGAGGTTTCATTAAAACATCCTGTAAGATGCCTTTCTTTATTAGTTGCATTTGTCCATATACACGACAGGCTTTTATGTAGGAGGCGTAACTGAGGGCAGTGGTATCCCCAAAGATATGGAATAGAGCAGAGTTCTTAAATATTCTGCAGGTACTCATGTACAACATTATATGACACATATGAAATGTGTAATGTGCACTAGTCATCATGATACTTAACCTTTGGACTCTGGCATTAATATTAGTGATTAAAGAACGCCTCCTAAAATCTTCATTCTTTAAAATCAACTACTTCATTTTTTAAAGAGGTAAGATGAAATGAATGAGGAAATTGCAATATAAAGTAAGCTTGTGATTTCTTTCCTGCAACATAATTTTATTAACACTAAATATTGCTTCCCTGAGGAAAAAATCCACAGTGTGCCAGGCTGGGATCAAGCACAGAACATCATGCATATACGGTTGAAGCATGTGGCCTGCTAAAGTTATATGCTCCTTATGGGTGTTGCAAGTGCTAAAATGATCAATCAGTGTACTCCTTGTGGCGTCCCTTCGCACATTGTTCAAGTCCATGTGAGCCACCAAGTTAGGGGATGGTGTAATTGATGCTGGCACATCCTAAAGGAGTGGGATTCAACAAAGTATGAGTGAATAAAAGCTCGCTTGAATGGGTTCAAACCCAACTTTCTTTTATCGCATTCAAAAATGTATTGCACTTGCATTGTTTTTTTTTTTTTTCATTTCAAATGCCAGTTTTGAAGGTGTGACAATATTCGGAACTGCTNTATACCAATTAGTGTGAAGGAACATACATTGGTCATTCACAAGATGTTCATTAACAGTAACATTTTATTCATAATTTACAGAAAAATATTAAACTTTGCAAAAATGGTTTCATAACTACCCTTAAAAATAAATAAAAAACTAAAGGGGTTCAGATCTGCTTGGTTGGATTGGCCCAGGTTGATAACATGAACCTAAGATATGGCATCTGGCCAAGAATTACTTTTGAACAAGAGTTAAAATCTGACTTTATTGCTTTGGAATAGTTATAGCATGCATAAAATTCTGGTTACTACTCAACAAACATTTACAGAGGGGTTAACATGAGGGGTTTTAATACGTGTGAACATCAACAGAAAAGCATGCATTGCAGTGCAATGTGGCTTAAACATCCATACATGGAGCCAGACACAAGAAAATGCTTGAAAATGAGAACAAAGAAAAAATGAAACTTGTTAAAATTGCAATTTAAGAAATCAAATTTCAAACATTTAACACAGGAACACTCAAGTCAACGACCAACTCAAACAACCATCTCGATGCACTTACCAGGACCAGGATGAATAACTTATGATGTGAGCAGAAATTCAGTGGGTAGGCTAAGTTGGCACCTGCACCTACCACAAAATGAAATATGAGGAGAATTAACTGTGAAGTGAAAAAGAATACTGGACCAGACCACAAGCAAGCCAACTCATTTTTTCTTATCAATTTGTACATTTTTGTAGTTTTTATTATGTTAATATTATCACCCCACTCTTTGGCACTACTACATGTTTATGATAAGCTGACGATATTTCAACTAAGCTGAAGCAGAAATAAGACTTTGGCATTAAACCCTAATGCACCGATAGTCACATTTTATGAACTCACCTATCATGCCTACTATAAAACAATGTCATCTTCAGATCTTGACGATTCCTAACTAGGCCGACATGGTGTTGCCTCCATTCTTGTCGTTCGCATTCCGTTCCGCCTCGTCTTTTCGCTGTTTTGGGGCTGGAGCTGGCCTCTTCGGTAGGCCTATACCATAGAAACTCAACCCGCCTATTTTTGTCTTTAGGTGCTGCTTTCAGCAACTGCACAATCATTACCTGGAAATTTATGCCATTTGAAGGAGGAAATATCAACACCTTATGCACGCGCAGCACGATCAAGTATACGAACGACAGCAAAACGGAAGTTATCTGTGCCGGTAACTTCGGCACTTCCGGTTGACACAAGATCGACGTGCGCCCGCTGGAGTTGGCAGTCCATTGTATTTTCTCTTTCAGGTCTATGGTCCAACTAAGTGGGAGCCTGCAAACTGTGGCACGTCCGCGTGTATGACGAAGTTTCTTATGAACCTGATACAGAGCCGAAATGGATACGCCACGCTCACAATTAGTGGTGTAAAAGGCATTAGCGTGAGAACCAGTACGTGAACGAACGCAAGCGCACTCCCTTCATTGGCACCACACTTCCTGGTTCAAAAAGACGTCACACTTCGGTACTCGATGGACCGTTCCAGCATTCCAAAGTGTATTATAGTGGAATATGAGTGCGTGTTATGGGTACTAAAAAGCCATAACCTGCGGTTGAGCAAATACGTGTACATGTAGCCTATGTACAGATTACTGGCTGATGGCTGATTTTCACAGACTACCACGTAGTTCTATTTTATCTCCCTCCGATGAGAAAGGAAGTGTAGGCTTCCTGGTCGGTCTACCTTTGTAATCTGATAGTTAGTTGAACTGATGCCATTCCAAAATGCAGCACTTCATATTAGACTTTCCATTCACCCTTCCTAGCATCTGTTAGTTTTGTCCAAATTATGTACGTACTTACTCATGGCTAGAGTTAGCAAAGTCCAACACACCGCGGCACCCGTCCGAAATCCTGTGCCTTTACATCACGGACCTAACACCGTACAGCTAGTCTGTGACCAGTTCAAACAGAAATTCTGCGCACATAAAGAAGGAATGATATGACATAACGCAGTGGCATTTAATGGAACACATGCTTTTCTACTTAGTGATCTTCTTACCGTTTTTAATGTCTTTACAACGTGGCGGACGTACCACCAGGAGCACAGACCATCCTTCCTCCACGCTCGCCCGTGTTATCAAATTAGAAGAGCATCTACAGAGGTCTGGACGTGCCATTCGACTTGTGACATCGTGAGTGTCAAGTCAGTTATACAGAATACAGAAGTGTTATTAGATTATTTTAATAACAAAAAGATATGATGCTCTTAAGACGTAGCTCTGCGATGCATCGTAGGAAATCGAAATTGTAAACACAAACGTCACAACACCGAGGCAAAATAAAGCCGCTATTTCAACTGCAAACGGCACTTCTAGAGATCCGTACAAATAAATACGATTTAACCTTGAACACATGCCCCGCAGAGAGCGTGCCCAGACAATATATATGTACAGTACATGTAGATGTACGTGCAGGCGGGTACAAAGTGCAATCATTATAGTGGGATACCAGTGTTCGCCCCGTTGCGTTTAGAATTCGCACTCAGTGGTTTCAACAACAAAAGATTAGCCACTGGACGATAAAAATAATTAGCATTATGATTCCATCGCCGTGCAGGGAGCGGCGCTGTTCACATTCGACCCCTCTGCTATTCACGTTATTTAATCACTGTAAAATACATCAAGCCGAAAGGTTATGTCGCAAGGTCAAACTTTAATACCTTGGGAGCTAGAGGCTTGTCTGAATAAACCGCCAACCTGTACGGCAGCTAAATAACGAGACCTACACGGTATTGTTGACACTATGAACATCTAACAAAAAACCCCAAAACAAAAACAAAAAACACGAAGCAATAACCGTGGACGCTCAATGTTGGTGCACTGTGCATCTCTTGTTAGATGTTCGTTGTGTCAAGGCGAAAAAATGGAACATGTGTACTGTACGAGTACATTTATTTTGATCCTTCAGAATAACTAGTGTGAGCCTCTCACCAGCCGATGTAAATCAATGCTCAGTACGAGGCCCGATACCGCAAGGGGGTTGACATGCCATGGTTATCATGATTGCCACGGCGACCGTTGCTTCTGGTTTTTCTCACATAGCCGTTTAATAATTGATAGTGCATTCTAACCTTACAGCACCCTAGATTGTTCTGAAAACAGGTGGATTGTGTCAAAATTACAACTAAAAGCAGTGTTGTATTCGAGTCCATCACAAGTCCCTTCACAAATCCCTTCAAGAGGCCAGTCTCAGGTAACAGGGTGATCAACGTTACAGCTCATTTGACTAGCCTGTGAATTGTCTTAAGACTGAATGACTCGTGGTGGACTTGTAAGGGACTTACAGGGACTTGCTGAGACTTGTGATGGACTTGTAACGGACTTACACTGACTAAAAGTAAGAGGGCGTAGATACAGCTAATTTTCACGTGCCTTCTCCATTTGATATATGGAAATACTTACGCTCGTATACCCTATTATCAAATGATAAGGGCCAGAAACGGAATAATTACGTTTATCCATAAGCGAATGTAAAAGAAAAGGATAGTTAATTTGGCCTGGACGTTGTTAACACTATCCGAGTACTACCGCACTAACTGAAACTCTGAATCCTGGCCTGTGTTGATTTTTGTGGCGTCCGATCTTGTGAAAGACAGGTGGATACCCGCCTTCCGTCGTCAGGCCGTGCAAGACGGATGACCATCAACCAACCCGTAATCATTACCTGTTACAGCAAAGCGCTACTTTAAAGTTGTTGATAAGTCTGCATCGTCTTCTTCACTTTTGATTTGCTTTCCCTGCTTCATCAACTTTACTGTCACGAGGGGCGCGCACCCCGGATGCG